AGATAGATGCAGGGAGTATACCTATATCTTAAGTCTAGGATACACATGAGGAGTCCGGGATGCAGATAATGAGGTAGGGAGTTGGTATAGATAGTCCAGTGTTTGGAATAAGTTTGCAATAACTTTATGACCCCAGTACGAAGCCAGTTCAAGCTAATAATTCTTACAGGTGTGGTTTGTAACTGCATCAGGGAGAGAGATAAGTGTGTTGCTGAGGCCCACTCACAAGTAATTGCTAGGCATAGTGTCCTTGGGCTGGGGAGAAACTACCGGGGCTACTGTTTCTGAAGCTAGGGAGAAATATGGTCTTGGAATTGGGTTCCCAGTACAAGCACCCAAGTACCCCATCAGAGGGAGAGCATTCTAGGCATAGGGGAGAGCCAGAAAGAATGCTGGGAACAGAGAGATGGTGTGTTTTATTCGTGAAAGATCCAGGAGACCAGTGTCACTATATCAAAGAATAAGTGATTAAAGAATAAGACATAAGAAGAATGGAAAGGTAGGAGAAAGCTAGGGTTTTGAATGTCATACAGCATTTTGTATGTACTCCTGGAAGTAATAGGAAGCCACTGTGATTTATTGAGTAAGGGAGTGACATGGTCCAACTTAGGGAAAAAAAGGAAAAGAGAGGGATGGAAGAGGAGGAAGCATTTATTAGGTAACCTCTAAGTGCCAGGCATTGTGCTAAGTACTTTACAGATGTTATCTCATTTGATCCTCACAACTCTGGGAGGCAGATGTTATATATCATCCCCATTTTACAGTTGAGGAAACTGAGGCAGATGAAAGTTAAGTGACTTGCTCAGGGTCACACAGCTAATAAGTGTCCCATGATGTAGGAGTATCAGTTTGGCAGCTGTGTGGAGCATAGATTGAGGCATGGAGGCTAATTAGGAAGCTGTTATTCTAGGCCTCAAACCCTGGACTGGCAGGTATGTGAGAGAAGAGGACAGAGCTGCAGTGGAGGTAGACTTGATGAGACTTGGCAACTGACTGGATATGGAGGCGAGAAAGAAGGGGGAGTTGATTTCCAGGTTGGGAATCACAATCAGATATCCATTTTCCTCAGCCTCGAAGGGCCAGGTTTCATCTGAGGAAGTTTGTATTGTCTGTACTTTTTCACATACATGTCTGTTATCTTCATTAGTAGACTGTTAAGTCCTTCGTCTTGCTTAAAAAAAACACCTTTTTATTGATATCTTTTAACATTGTCTAGATTTTCTCCTCTATCCCAACTCCTCCTCCTTCTCAGAGATCCATTCTTTCTAACAAAAATTAAAAACAAGAAATCAGCAAAATTGATCAATACTTAGCAAAAACATGACGTTGTCTGCCACCTTTCATATCAGTGTACTCTCAGTCCCCTCAAACACTCCTCTCCCTCCAGCATAGGAGTCAGGCTAGGGAGGCATCTTCTCATAAATCTTTGAGGCCAAGCTTGTTCTTTATAATCTTCTTTATAATCTTGCAAGATTCTTTTGTGGCTATTTTTTTCCATGTACATTCATGTAGTCATTGTATGTTTTGTTTTCCTGGCTGTGCTTACTTCACTCTGCATTAGTTCATGTCTTTTCATGCTTCTCTGAACCCATGTTCATTTCTTTCAGCACATCTTACTTCTTAATGCCTTATAATTTGAGTTTGGCCTCTTCAGTGTTCTCCACAGTTACCAGTGATTGACAAATCCAGTGGCCTTTTCTCAGTCTTCACCCTTGACCTGTCTGCAACCTTTGACTGGCCTGAGTTAGACTTGACATGGTGGTTCACATTCCAGATTGGAATGAAATAATATACTTGTAATTCATCTGACAGTTACGAAAAGAAAGTTTATTTAGCCATAGTATGGAAAGGATGGTCAGCAAGGATACTGCTTTGATTCTATTGTTGGTGCACCTTCCCTAAGTCCACATCTGCCATGCTGGCATGTGTCAACTGTACCAGAACTGGCCTCTAACCTGTGGGTGGTTGGAGCCAAAACAGAGCAGGCTAGACACAGGAGAAGTCAGGACACAAACAGAAGTTTAATTCATTTCAGAGTGAAGAAAAGGACACCTGCTGGTGGAAGATTCCCCTCTCAAGGACTTAAGAGTGCTAAGGCTGGGGCCACTTATATACATGAAAGGGGCTGGCTCACAACATAATCATTCTTAGATCTTGAGACAGTTCTCATGGTTAGCATTTCTTGGGACAATACAGTTGTTCTTGGGTCCCATGGGAACAGCCATTGTCTCAAGTCTTGGGTGTCGTGAGGCACAGGACCAGAGTTCTGTGATGGGAATTCAGTACCTGTCAGCGACAAGGAATAGGGATTGTGAACATGTCATGGACTGCCCTGGGAAATAAGGGAAACTAAATTCCTTATGAACACCTGGTGCTGGTCCAAGCAATGTACTTTACTAGAGGGTGAGATCATTCCAAGGCACAAAGGATTACTGTTATGCCAAACTCAGAGCACAGAGTGCTTGCCAGGCCCTAGCTCTGGAAAACAGGTTATCTCCAAAATATCAAAATATTTTGACACACACACCAGATGTCATATTTGAGGAAGGAGCTCTTGATTCCTTGTGTATTTAAGTCACCAGCCTTTTACCTTTAACCCCCTGAAGCAATTAAATCTGTAAAATGGTTTCAACACTAAAAAAAACAACATTTTTTAAAATCATATTTTCCAAGTACATGTAAAAAAAATTTTAATACTCATTTTTAAAAATTTTGAGTTCCAGATTCTCCCCCACCTTCAATTTCTTTTTAAGGAAAAACAAATTTAGCCTGCAATGGGTAGGTGTTGCTCCATTAGGACATCCTCTCTACCATCAACATGACTTTGTAGAGGTTGCTCCCCATATATAGAACGAAATTCCTCCTCACCTTGTCTCTTAAAATGCTTAGCATCTTTCAAAACTCAGTTCAAGAGCCACCTCTTACATATGGCCTTCCCTGATCCTCTTCATGGTATTTGCTTTGTTATTTCTCATGGTGGAATCTAAGTCCCTTGTACTATTTTCGGCTTTTTTTGTATCCCAGAACCTTACAGGTTGCCTGCCACATAGCAGACTCTTTTTTTTTTCCAGCTAAAGACGAGGTTTATTAGAACATCTGTCATATTGGCCAGACTCTTAAGGAATCTAAGCATTTGTATTGCTAATGCAAATGGGCCAGATCTTAAGAATCTGAGCCCACATAGCAGACTCTTAATAAATGCTTACTGAATGACTTTCAGTGTCTCTCTCCTCTTGTAGCCCGTGTGGCTATCTGTGGACTTTGATAACTGGAGAGACTGGGAAGGGGATGAAGAGGTGGAGCTAGCTCAGGTGGAACATTACGCAGAGGTGAGAGAAGATGCCAGTTTCATGTCTGTGCCTGGGTTTGTATGTCTCTTCCTGTCATTTTCTCTAAGTTCTGTCTAGCTTGCTGTCATGTAGGGTTTTGCTGACTCTTTTGATCAGTGACATCTAGATACCCTTTCTCCCGGTGACTTCCTGTCTCCTTTCCAGCTCTTAAAGAAAGCGAGTGCAAAGGGACCTCCCCCTGCCATGGATGACCTGGATGTAAGTGGAGCTGATAGAGCTTAATTCATGAGACTCTGTCAGTGAAATTGGTTCTGCTTTCTGGTTATGGCCCTTAGATGCTATGTTCCCCAGTGAAGCCTGCTTTCTCTAGTTCCAATTTCCTTCCAGACAGCAAAGAAAAAGCTGCTTGAATGGGTTTTCTCCTTCCTTCTGTGGGTATCCCCAGCAGGGTCTTCTTCCTTCCTGCCCCATTTGGGCATATAAATACAAATGCCTTTTCTCTTCCCTGACCCAACATTAGCCTCTGTTCTTTTCTAGGATGAATCCAGTGGTGAAGATATGACAGGTAATTTCTCTGTGAAAAAGATGGTTAGGGATCTGGAAACCATTTTCTATGAAATGCTGGGGTCTTTTCTCTTTTTGGCTGTATTATGGGCCTATAGTGAAACAATTCTGGTTCCTCAGTTTACCTCTACCTTTAACATTTACATTCCCAGCAAGCTCTTTCTCTTAGGCCCTTCACCAGAGATGTGACTTTGCCAACTGTTTCTGAACAGGATGGCAAAGAAGAAATAGGCTACTGGGGGCCTTCATGCCATTCTATTATCAGTCTTTAAGTTTCTGGCCACTCGTTAAGAGTTCTCATGTTTGTGTATATGGCAAGGGAAAAGGCAAAGAGCAAAGCATATTTCACTAAAACTTTTGTAATTTTTTTCTTTTATTAGGAACTTAAGCAACATTACAGAAGAAAATGAACATGCTATCTTCATCCCTCCATATTTCCTTCCCACCTTTGTAAATCTATGTACATTTCTGAAGAGTTCTTTCATGTATTTTTTTAAACTTAACATGATTTCACATACACCATTTGCGTGTTTCAATACACTATACATATTTCATAATTATATAGTGAATTGAACACTGGATTTAAAGCCGAGATCTTGAAGTCCTAGATCTGACATTAATTAGCAGTATGACCATAGGCAACTCACTCAACGTTGAGTCTGTAAGCCTGGTCATCTGTAAAATGGGGTAACAGTACAAACAGGCTGTGAAGAAAGTGCCCTATAAAGTGCTATCTAAATGCAAACTACTGGCATATTGGTATCCATAGGCTATTGAGCCATTTCCCTATTGTTGGTCACTGGGGCTGTTTCCAATTTTATAAACAGTGCTATGACGACTTTTGTAAAATAACTTTTTAAAGTTATTTCCTTGGGGTATAATTCCCCAAAGGAGAATCATTTGATCACAAGATATGTGCTGCTTCGTAGCTTTTGCTCTTAACCATCCAATTCTCATTTATGCCTATAATTCAGGTTCTCAACCTGTAGTGACTTTCCCTCTCCCTGAGGGAGCTGAAGAAAGAGGAGACACAGAGTTCTAAGGTCACATCCCACAGAATGACTTTCCTTGTTGCCTTTGGGTACGTAATGAAACAAACCTGTTCCCACTTAACCAATAACTTCGTGTCTTCTGGCTTACATTTGTAATGACAATGTGCACCTGAGTGTTTCAGGTTCCTCCAGTATTATCATAGGTAAACAGAGACTGCAGACTTAAGACAGTTAAATTGTCTAGACAGTCTAAGAACCGAGTCTTAAGTGTTCCTTTCCCGCCATTCTGCCCCCATCGCCATGGAAGTTATCTCTGCTGCACAGAGCAGAGAGTCATTTTACATTTTTATGATGGTCCTCTTTTGCACTTAGCTGGGCTGGTCCTCAGACAGCAGGTAACGTTTATTTCTGAGGATACACTTAAAGCCTTCCCAGATAGGAAGGACCTGCCAGATTGCATGTTTATTCACTGCCTTAAAAACCAAGGGTCACCTCTGTATCATCATGAAGCATCTCTCTCAAAACTGGGCTGCTGTGGTTTTTGCTCAGGTTTCTGATTAATTTCACTGCACCCAGAACATGATGGGGTTCCCTGTGAAAAGGAGCATCAGAAGAAGTTCATTTGGATGGTGCTCATAACTTTGGCCTCAGCCAGACAGTGATCCACTTCTGAGAAGAGGGAGGCTTGTTTTTTCAAATGAGAAAATGTGTGGGGCATGAAAGGAGGCAAAAGAAATTGGATGCTTTTTTCCCAAAGGAAACAACACTCTCAGGAAACATCAGTAATATCAAGAATTCTGCTGGAAGCTGGGTTTCGCCATGACACCAGAGTTTAGGAAGGACACTGATAAGCAGGATGTTGTCCAAAGAGCATGATGGTGAAGGGTCTTGAGTCCATGTCGTATGAGGATAGTTGAATGGACTGGAAATGTTTAGCCTGGAGAAGAGAAAGAGAGGGAGAGGGAGAGAATGGTACATATTGACTAAGTTCAAGTTTTGGAAGCGCTGTCATGTGAAAGGCAGACTGGCCTTTTCTGTTGAGCCCCAGAGGCCAGAACTGGAGCAATAGGTAGAAGTTACAGAGCGGGTAGTGGGGGAGGGGAGCATCCGCAATAAGAGGCTGGATAACCACTTTTCTGATATGTTATAGTGGGGATTCCTTTTTGGGTATAGGTTGGACTAGATAGCCACTGAGCACTCCTTCAAGTAAGGCCCCTAGGCGTTGTGTATAAATCTGGAAGACCAGAGTTCAAATCCTGTCTCAGACACTTATTTAGGTGTGACCCCAAACAAGTCACTTAACCTTTGTCAGCCTCAGTTTCCTTTAAAAGCTATGTAAATCCTAATCACTATTATTATTATTCCAACTTTGAAACACTGATTCTGTGAACTTGTTGCAATAAGGAATTTTTCCTATGTTTGGGAATTAATATTCTCAAGCCATCCCATGTTGGCTCAGACCCTTTCATTGTCATCACCTGGTAAGCTATATTGGAAGACAGCTGGGTTCAATTTTAACTCATCCATTTAGTACCTACAATTTACTAGGACGGGCCAGTCCTGATCCTCATCTAAAAAAGAGAAGAGTGTACCAGTATATTTCTAAAGTCTCTTCCAGCTCTAAATCCTAAAGTGCTATGAACTTGGGCTAAGAACAGCTCTTTGGAGAACACTGGCCCCAAGGGACACAAGGGCTAAAGAGTCACAGTCAAGTCCGGATACTGTTTCTTTCTTTCTTACTTTATATTTTCTAACTGCACTATTAAAGAAAATCCAACAATTATAATTCCAGTGAAAAATATTGCTGCCACACCACTTTTCCTCCATTTTTTTTAAAGATTCATTATTTTAGTTTTCAACATTCACTTCCACAAGATTCTGAGTTCCAAATTTTCTCCCCATCTCGTCCCTCCCCCAACCCCAAGCCAGCGTACATTAATAATAGAAGCAAGGCAGGTGGCACAGTGGACAGAGTCCTGGACCTGGCGTCAGCAAGAGCTAGGTTCAAATTCAGCCTCAGACACTTGCTACCTGTCTGACCTTGGGCAAATTATTTAACCTGTCTGCCTCAATATCCCCATCTGTAAAACAGGGATAATAACAGTACCTACCTCCTAGAGTTGTAAGAAAGTGCTTTGCAAACCTCAAAGTGCTATATAAATGCCAGCTATCATTCTTACACTACACGGTGTTCCAAAAGTCCTAGTACAAATTTAGGCTTTTATAGCTGACTTGGCCGGGCCATCCTGTACAGTGTGAGACTTCCAGCTTTATCAGCTTAAACCTGCTTTAAGACTTTTGGGACACCCGATATAGCCTAAGGAGCTCCTGCTTTATTTAGAAGCTTCAAGCTGCACTAAGACTTTTGGGGCACTCCCCACAACCCGAGCCTCTGATACCCTGCACTCCAGCCCAGTCTCACCTTTGGCAGACACCAGGACCAGCTTTTGTGCTTTACAAATTGTTATAGTCGTCATCGTCTTCGTGTTTCCTTTTCAATGAATTCGAGGACTCGGCGGGGGTGCTCTGCGACGACGAGGACGAGGACGAGGACGACGACGATGAAGATGACGACGAAGACACCACGTTCGTGGTGATGAGGATGTTCTTGGACCCGATGAGGGAGGGGTTGATCAGCACGTTCTGCACGGCAGGCGCCGCGGGCATCGCCGCCTTGACTGCGGGGCTCTGCGAGGCCGGGATCTGCACCGTGAACCTCTGGCCGGCCAGCGACAGCGGGGTCGCGACGTCGGCGGCCACGGCCACGGCGGGCGCGGACGAGGGCGCGCCCAGGGTCGGGGTGCCGGGCCTGCTGCTGACCGCACCCACGCTGAGCCGCGGCACCGTGATTCTGCCCGCCGGGGCCGCCACCTTTTTGGGCAGGGACTTCAGCCGGTAGTTGGGCGCGGTTAAGCAGTAGCGGTCTGGGGGCAGCCGGGGGCCCGAGTAGGGCTTGATCAGCGGCAGCGGCGTCTGGTTCTTCTGCCGGGCGATATCTAACAGAAAGTCCCTGGGCGGCGGCGCCGTGAACGACTGGTCGGCCCTGCACTGGATGGCCAGCCGCACGTCGTCCGCATCCACCGCAGGCTTCTTGGCGTGGCTCGAGTAAATCTTGGCGTCGTCCAGAATCGTGGTGACGTAGCGAAAGGCGAACTCCAGCATCTGGTTGATGACCCTTGGTTCGTACTCTGTGATCCCCATATCCTTCAGAATTTGGGCCATCACTTGGGCATCTTTCGGAGAGCTCTTGGGGGACGCCATCTTGCCCGGCTCCATGATTTCCGGTGCTCACACTTCACTTCCGGTTTCTGAGAGCTTCGCCAAAGGTTACTAAACGACCGGGAGGGAGGAGTCCCCGATTTCCGTTTTCGCTAATTCTGACCCACGCCGGCAACTGTCCGTATTCCCTTTCCTGACTCTCTACTGCCGCAGAGGAAAGAAACTCAGGTCCTACGTAAGGCTTGAGCTCTGCCCTTGCCAGGGCCATCTGTTTAGCGTTCTCCACGGCCAGGGAGCTAGCAACCATGTCGTTCTGGTGCCAGCGGGACAGCTACGCTCGAGAGGTGAAACCTGAGGCCGGGGGTTCGAGATCGAAAGGGTTGGGGAGGGGTGAAGCGCGGGGGCTCGGCCGGCAGGCCCCATCTTACGATCCTCCCTTTGCTCCGCAGTTCAGCACCACCGTGCTGTCTTGCCGGCCCGCGGAGCTGCAGACCATTGGGAAAGGAGATAGCAAGAACCAGGAGAAGCTAAGCGGCTACCACGTGGTGTTGGAAGATACGCTGCTCTTTCCTGAGGGCGGGGGTCAGGTGTGAAACCCGCCTCCAGCCTTCCCACCCCACCTACGCCGAGGCCCCGCCTCCTCTCAAGCCATACCCCAACGTGCCCTCATCCTCCCAGAAGCCCCGCCCTCCAGTAGACCACGCCCCTTTCTTGGGCCCACCCTCAGAAGGTTCTTACCGGGTGGGACGTTAGAGATAGCTTCTGTTTACCGAGAGGGAAGTGACTTGCCCAAAGCCAATTTAGACTCCAAGTCCTCAGGTTTTAAACGCTGGGTGCTTTTTTTTTTTTAGGCAGTTAGGGTTAAGTGACTTGCCAAGGGTCACACAGCTAGCTAACTAAGTATCAAGTGTTTGGTCTGAGGCTAGATTTGAACTTGGGTCCTCCTGACTTCAGGGCTAGTGCTCTTTGCACTGTGCCAACTAGCTGCCTCTAACGCTTCGCTTTTGTAGAATCCTTTGTGTTCTGTCTCATCTCCAAGGCCTGACTACTTGTATTGGGAAATACTCAAAACTGACAAGCCCCGTCCTTCCCCTGCCTTGGGTCACTTCTCTGGATCTAACATTTCCTTACCCTTTCCGGTAAAAAGAGGGGGTTAGACTAGATCAGTGGTCATTAACCATTTTTGTGTCTCAGACCCTTTTGGCAGTCTAATGAAGCCCTTCCAAAGTAATGTTTTTAAATCCATAATATGAAAAATATAGTATTACCAATTATGCTGAAATATTAGTTATCAGAATATATTTTTTAAAAGTTCACAGGCCCCAGTTTTAAGAACCCCTGACCTAGATGCCTCTAAGGCTTCTTTCAGCTCCAGATCTTTGATCCCATGATCCTTCAGTTCAGCCCCAAAAATTTAAGAATGAACATGGTGTGGTAGATAGAGTTTTGTGTGAAACATTTTTGCAAACCTTAAAGTGCTATAGACATGTTCTTATTAGCTAAGGAGCCAGCCTTGAATCCAGGTTGAGCCTCCACCCCTAGCTTAATGTCTCTGGGCTGTAGATTTCTTAATATAATTTGCAGAGAAGGTGCTGATTTACATTGGTAAAGGGAATTCCTTATGCCATTATGCCAGCGAAATTGCCTGAGCCCATTAGACCCATTACTACCTCTGTATTTGACCTCTGACCCTTGGGAACTTCAGATTATAACATTTTACTCCCACCCAAAAAAAAATCCATACTAGGTATCAAAGGATTATGGATTTAGAGTTGGGAGGGATGATCAGAGGTCATCTCATTTGACCTGTTCATTTTACATAGGAGGAAACAGACTCAGAAAGATTAAGTGACCTTATCCAAAGTCATATGAGTATGTGGTAAAGACAGCATTCAAACTTGGGTCCACTGACAGCAGGCCTAGTAGTGTTCATTCCTGTACCTCTCCTTCTTATCTCCTTGTAGCCTAGACAAATCCTACCTCCTACTTTACAGGTCACTGTGTACTTTTTAATTCCTAAACTACTTTTTGAGTGTGAATTACTGCTTCATCTTTCCCTTCCTAAATCCATAGTAGGAACCTTTTTTCCCCAGCCTGATGACCGAGGTTCCATTGCTAACATCCCAGTGCTCAGAGTGACCCGCCGGGGATCTGAAGCTGAGCATTTCTTGCTAACTCCCCTGGCACCAGGGAGCCGGGTCCAAGTGCAGCTGGACTGGGATCGGAGGTTTGACCACATGCAGCAGCATTCAGGTATCGAGGGAATGGAAGTGGAGAAGGAGTTTAGCCCCATTCCTGGAAATTCAGTCCAGATGATTGTAACACCGTGCCTACCCATGTAGCTAAGCACTTGTGTAGAGAGAACTGTGCTTGAATCTAAAAGCCCTTGCATGTTAGACTCTTTTAATAGTCTCCTTTCTCCTTATCTATTTCCCTTGGTACCCAGGACAGCATCTCATCTCAGCTGTGGCTGACCACCTGTTTGGGTTGAAGACAACATCGTGGTGAGTGAGAGGCATTGGATTGATGACTAAAAATGTAAATGTTTTATTAAAACCTTAACTCTGAACATCAATACAACCAACTAAACTGGCTTAGCAGATGTTTACATTTAAATTAATTTCAACACCTAAGATGTCTTACTATTTTTCAGTCATTCCCTATTACAAAGAGATCCTTGTCAGAATTCTTTTGCCATTTGTTCCTATTAATTTTTGTTCTTATATAGTCATTTTTACAGAGATCATGAGGCAGCATGATATACTTGTTAGAGAAATGGCTTCAAATTGAGGAAAACCAGGGTTCAGGTTTTGCCTTTGATACATACTGGCTGTATGAGCCTGGCTGGACAGTTCACTGAACCACTCAAAGCTATTGGCAATTCTTAAAGGACTCAGTTGCAAAAAAGGTGCCAATCTGTGTTGATAGAAGGAATTTCCTCATCCATGAATTCTCTATACTACTTGTCTAGTCCCTGTCCCTAACTAGAGAGACTTCATGAGGTAGTGGCTAGAGGCCATTCTTAAGAGTCAAGAAGATATAGATTCATGTCTTGCCTCTGACATATACTATCTCTATGACCCTGGGAAAGTCACTGAACTTCCTATTGCCCCAGTCAGGTATCGTAAGACCTTCAGTTTCAGGATAGCTACCAGTCTGCATTGGTGGAGGGAGTTTTCTCACTCAGAGTTCCATTACACTGCTGAAATTACAGGTCAAAAAAAAAGTTATACTTTTAGTGTGTATTCTATTTCTTGTTCTGATTTTTTTTCATTTTGCAGTTTTATAGTAGACTATTTGATACAGCCTTTTCCAGCTTTTTCCTAACAAAGACCTAGGCTTGGAGGCGAGAGAAAGGGGAATTTCCTGGAATGAAATACGGTCTAGCATTTGTTCAATTCACTTTTGTAAGCTCTGAAAATGGGTTAACGTCTCTGTGCTAAAGGATGGACAGGGGAAGAAAGGTCTTCTAATCCAGGTGTTTGAGGCTGATGGACCCATTGTCTTTAAGGGCATCTGTGATTTTGTTTTTTTTTCAGTATTGCATTAGTTGCATTTCAGTATAATTAGATTCCTTTGCAAGCCTATTTATTTAAAAACATTATTCTGCATTAGAGGCCATAGGCTTTACCAGACTGCCAAAGTGAGTGTGGTGACCCAAAAGAGATTAAGAACCCCGAAAGCTCTGTCCCTACAAGCTGCCAATCTTATATTTCATTCTCATCCCATGAACCCCCCTCTCTCTGGTTAGGGAGTTAGGACGCTTTCGGAGCACGATAGAGCTGGATAACCCCAAGGTCTTGCCAGAACAGGTAGTTGCTATTGAGCAGAGTGTCAATGAGAAGATCCGAAATCGGCTGCCTGTGACTGTGACAGAACTGAGCCCAGATGATCCTGAGGTGAAGGTAAAGAGCTAGCCAGTGACAACTCCAGGCTATCTAAAGAGTTCTTTTCAAGGACCTTTTAGAAGTTCTGATATACCTACCCGTTCCAGGTAAAGGCCTTGGGTTTGCCAGATGACCATGTGGGACCTATCCGTGTCATCACCATTGAGGGTGTTGATTCCAATATGTGCTGTGGAACCCACGTGAGAAACCTCAGTGATCTGCAGGTGAGTGGGGTGGGGGGAGGAGGGAAGGGCTGAGGTTCCAGAAAAGGCCTATCAGTGGGGTGGAAGAGCAAGATGAGCCTAAGACTGGGGGAGGGGCGAGTAGAAGCTCAAAAATGTTGAAATCCTTTGGGCAGAGGAGTGTCTGTCCCACCACTTCTACTGGAGATGCCTTCTCTGTAGGCAAGGTGCATTGAGTCCCTATATGAGGGATTCTTTGTAGGACCCCTAAAAGACCTCACTATTCACTTATTCTGGAGAGACAATATGAGTCTAGCTTGCTCTCAGAAGCCACTTCACTGTATGTGTCTTCCAAACCCCATCTAGGTCATTAAGATCCTAGGTACAGAGAAGGGGAAAAAGAACAAGACCAACCTAGTCTTTCTAGCAGGGAACCGGGTGCTGAAGTGGATGGAGAGAAGTCACGAAGCAGAAAAGGCCCTGACCGCACTACTCAAGTAGGGTGCCTCTCTTTTTGTTCTTGTGGATTTATTGAGTGATTTTAGGGAAGTGCCTCAGTTTCCCCATCTGCAGTATGAGGAATACACCCCTTTACTCTCTCTCCTGGTACAAGGATCAGATGAGCTTCTAAGTGTGAGAGTGCTCTTAGAGGTGGAGTTCCTCATGTACACCCAGCAGAACAGCCTGGTGGAAGGAGGGCTGGTCTGAGAGTCAGGAAGACCTGGAACATGCCTCAGATACTTAACAGCTGGGCAAATGACATAACCTCTCTGAACCTGAGTTGCCAATAATAGTAGCACCTACTTCAGAGAGTTGTTATGAGGATCAAATGAGACAGTGAATGCGAAGTTCTTTGCAAATCTTGATCCACTATACAAAAGTGCCAGCTGTTATACATGGCCAGTCCTTGCCCCCAGTTGTTTTGTGAATAAGTGACCTTCCACACTCAAGCTGCTGTCTCTCTCTGCTAACCCCAACAATAATCTGTAGTTCTCAGGCTTGGGAG